TGCATTGATGTTTGGATTTGTTATTGGTCTTCTGCCTCAGGAAGGAACTAAATGGGTTTCATAAGATACAATCTTCACATTTATAATTTGTTTTTTTACTTGTTAAATTTTGCAATAGGTACTCCTTAGAGATCCATTGGATGAAAATGTTATCCCTGTTGTTGAGGAACTTCAAAGGCGATTACCCCCTTCCCATGCTATCTGTAAAGGTGAAGGAGATGGAAAAGACTTAAATGGGCAAAATGATGTTGAGCTGGGTGAAGAAGATGGTATACCACATTACTTCTATTATTTAAGAGTTAAACTGAATCAAGTTAATTATTCAAAAGCAGGGATTTTTATTCTTTATCTTAAAAGTCTTTATGTTATTTGAATTATAATCTTCTAGAAAAGTTAGTATCTATTTGTTATTTAGTATATGAACAAATTGAATTTTACAATGTAGAGTCTCCATTTGAATTTCGAGCACTAGAGGTAGCTTTGGAAGCTATTTGTAGTTTTCTAGCTGCTCGGACAACAGAGCTAGAAACTGCTGCTTATCCTGCTCTGGATGAGCTTACCTCTAAGGTTCGTTTTCCTTGTTATTTTTTCTTTCTTAAGCCCAATGGCAAAATGTCCTGGCTGCATTTATTTTCTCTACATCCTGTTATGCATTGATTTCTGAATCTATAGATTTTATATATTGCTAATAAATTGATGTTGAGGAAGGTGGTTGAAATTTTAAATGGGGTATAAATTTGCTTTGTGGACTTGTCATTCTATGGTATATTCTCTATTGGCTTCTTATTTTTCTTTTAGCTTATGATTTGGAATGAAACGTGCAAACTTAATTATATTGGTATAGAAAGTGGAGAGTTATTGGGGCATTTTTCTTGTTTTACATTTTCGGAACCTTTGGTGAAGTTGGTTGATTGGGGTGGGAAGTAACTCCTCATTGTAAATTCTTGTCCATGTCAGCTATTCTGGAAGGTTTTTGTATTTTCTAGGTAGTCTGATGGGAGAAAGGTTTTGTTAATATTGTCCTGTTCGTCTGTGATGGTTATGTGGCAGATTTTGTCAATCCTTGAAGAAATCCTTGGTTTTATATGATAAAGGGTAGGTTTAATGTTTCCCCATTTTTCTTAAGGAACAGTTCTTTTTTTTTTTTTAACAGAAGCTTTTTAAAGAATGTTTAGATTGTTATTTTTGTTTTCCTTTTTATGTTCCTCATTTTTCTTTTCTGAATTTGTAGTTTGCTTATGTTACAATAACATAGATTTATTTAATCGTTTAAACCCATGTACCTTTGGACTTCTATCTTATATTGTAAAGGGGATATTTAGGCTCCATTTGGTACATGAAAATGTTTTATAATTTTCATTTTCTAAATTTATATTTATTTTATTCATAAAACTGTGCAAGTTAATTAACAAGAGTAATAATGAAATTTAAGATGAAAATTGGAAATTTTAAGTACTGTTTTATTTTTAAATTTTTTTTTTTTTTTGGTGCTTTGGTTATTCTACTAATAGGCAACTTTGTTAAGGTCTCTACTTAAGGAAATTTCTTTGATTTTCTGCCTTTACCTATCTTTAGAAATTAAAGAAATAATAGGCTTTTGGATAGAGAGAATCCTACAATCTCTAGGTTTGAAAAGTACTCTTCATTCAAGAAGAATTTCAGACATAATGCTGTTTTTATCCCACAGCAGAGGATACATACAAAAGAAGGTAGTTAATTCTGCAATTTTTGTATTTTCAGAATTACCTAAACTATCCTTGTCTTACAATATATTTATTTCCCACCCAAATATATACTTAACACTTGATTAAAAACTGCTTACATAAAAATTATATAATAACATTTAAATTGACACACATAGATAAACAAGTACACAAGATTATTCCTTTTAATTCATTCTTTGATGAATTAAGGTAAGGAATTATTTTGCCCCTAACAAACTCTTCTGTAGTTTTATGAATATGATCATGCATAAACACAGATGAATTTAGAAAATTGTTTTCTTGTACCAAAGAGAAACTTTGTGTTTTTTGTTTTTTTGTTTGCTTTTCTCTTTTGTTTTTTTCTTTTCCCACATTCGTTGATTTGTATTTTTCTTCTATTTTTTTATAACAATTACTAAGATTATGTTGTGTTTGTTCTCTTCTCATTTTATTCCCACTTAATTTTACCTATAATTTTGATAGTCTTTGAGTATTTGTTTGGCTTGGCTTTACTGTTGAAAAGCAATAGTCTGGCTAAGTGCTAAAAAACAGAAGTGTTTTAAGGTAAAAGCAGAAATTGTTTTTTACTGTTGATAACAACAAGATTAGAAGCTGGAGATAGATGTTTTCGAGAAATCACTTGTGCTGTAAGAGGTAAATAATAATTTGATGGGTATATCTATTATCTTTATGTTTTATTAATTAATATAGTTGATATTGAAAATAAAAATAATATCAATTCATTGTTATAATTTTAAATTATTATCAATTATTTAAATAATGTTTATTGTAAAATTAAATAATAATTAAAAATTAATATTTATATTAAATAAAATAAATAGAATAATTAAATTAAAGTGAATGTTTTAAATAATTTAAATTATTAGAACAGTTTCAAGAAAAATAATGTTATTTAAAAGTTATTTTTTATTATAATATAATTTTTTATTATTTCAATATTTATTATTAATTTTATAATATAATTAATTAAATATGATATCATATTTTATATTATTTTTTACCTTAAAGCTGCTTTTCTTGAAAGTCATCTTAAAGTATTTTTACAAGCACACAACACAAGCACCAACGACGCCAGATGGACCCTTAATGTACATAATTTTTGTATGTCATCTATGTGAATTCAGTTTCTAATTTAATTCATAAGTGATTTCCACCGCTAAATAATTCAAAATGGATTTAGGAATGAGATTAAAGATGAAATTATGTTCTAATTTTCTAAATCAGGACTTAAAATGAGGATTGGAAGTAGAAATTAAGTGGAAATAGAATGGGATTAGAACTAATGTAACCCAATGTTTGTACAGTCAACAATATTAATTTTTTATTAAGAAGAGACAGTCAGCAATATTATTTTAATTTGATTTTTTTTTTTTCACAGAAGACTATATTGTTATTGTTTGAAAATTTCCACTTTATACTTTGTATTTTTGTACATATGGACTTCTAGTTGAACGGCTTTTAAAGCTTTCTTGCATGTTCACTTTTTAACTCTGATTTTTTATTAAAAGAACCTTTTGAAGCTTTCTTACTGTTTTCCTTTTTTAAAAAAACTATAAATTCTTTCTTATGAAAACTTTTTGGAAGGAAATCTTTTTCTATTAAGTGTTGGTTTATCAATCTATTTTCGTATTTTACATTCTTTTCCATTCACCATTTCTTTATCCATAATGCTTTTGTACATGTGACATATAGTTCTAAACTTCTATGCCTGTTGAAGCTTTCTTACAGGGAGATTTCTTTTAAATTGCTTATTTTTTTCCCTATAGAGTGTACGAGTTATTAACCTCAGGATATGGATGGCAATAAGATTTTGTAATTTTCCCCTTTTTCCTTACATATCCGCTATACATATGTTCGTTTTGCTTTTGTGCTCTATAAATCTTTAATATATGATTGTATGATTTATTTCATGTTGTTTGAATCTTGCCTTGTGAATTCTAAAGTTTTTTGTGGAGTACTTCAATATACAGATTAGTAGCCGCAACTTGGACAGGGTTCGTAAATTGAAGAGTGCAATGACAAGATTGACCGCTCGGGTTCAAAAGGTATTTATATTGCTTCTTAATGTCAAAACTAATTGTAGCACTGTATTTGCTTGTACATTTATATTTGTGTTCAGAATTCAAACACAACATCTGACTCTCTTACACTATGTTGGATTGAAAGGGGAGGTGAAAGGAAAAAAAGAAATAGGAGGAAGCCAGAAAGGAACCATAATTTTTTGTTCGTATAAAAAAATGAAAAGATAGGAAGGAAAAGAGAGGGATAGTGAGCATAAGGAAAGAAGTTAAAAAAATTATAAATAAACAATTGTCTATTTAATTCTCTATGTCCACTTTACTATTTTCTTAATGAAGTGTGTCCAACTATAAGGATTAATTAAAAGAGGAGAACATGTTTCTTGTCCTTATGAAAACTATGAGGGTCAGCAAATTCTTTTTGTTAATTTATATAAAACTAACTTACCTGGGTCATAGTTTAGTATGGTACATGGTACGAGTACATGGTTCGTCATTTTCTTTGGCAGATGCTACTTGGGTTTGACTTCTGTGCCTCATTATTTTGGGTTCATTGTATGTGATACCCTTTTTTTCAAGTGTATATAAGATTGTTTTATATTTATACATGTTATATTTATGTGGATTTATGAACGATATGTGAAGAAATAGATTAGAGAAAATCACCTGGGTCATATATAAAATATAAGTAATTCAAAAATAAGAAAATCCAAATATTCAAGGCATCTAGATTGTAGTTGCTTTACTATTCTATTCTTTCTTCATAGCTGTTGAAACTTTGTTTTTCCTCTGCCCATGTGTATTTGAGTTTGGTTCTATACTTTGTGTCAACATGATAAAGCAAGACTACCAGATATAGATTGCAGTTCCAGTTGAGGTGCTGCAATGCTGGATATATGTACACTGCATAAAACTTAAAGCGCTATTAAGGAGAATTAAACTGCATATTCTGTCCTTTTCTTTCTCCCCCTTATTTTTAGATATGCAATCAAGGAAAATACATTTCCTTTTTTTTTCTTTAAAAAATCTTCATTTCTTTTTTTGTCTTTTACTAATTGCCAGCCAAAGATATATCAGGTTACTCTGTTTTTTTAATTAAGTTCTGTTCTACTTTGCAATCATTCCTTGAATTTGCTGCATGATGTGGACTCTTTGTTGGATAGAATCACTTCCAAGTTTACCAAATGAGTCCAGCTCATCCTTCTTTACTGGTTAATCTTGGTTGTTGATGTTTAATTTCAGTGTCTGTTATGTGAAACTCACACATGGACATTTGTTCAAACAAATTTCTTTTTATGTACTTCTCTCTTTTTTACTTGGGGCAGAGAATCTTGATTGTTAATAAAAATGACTTACTAATAAAGACTTCCTTTTTCTTGGGATAGTCAAGATAATAACAACAACAAAGCAGTCAATGTGGTAGTCATAAATGACATTTCAAACAAAAAAATCTATTCGTACCATGTACCACATAAACTATGACCCAAGTCATTTGTTCTGTAACTTTTAACATGTATCAATTGACGTCTTAATAAAAAAAATATATTAACTTTAACAATTTTTTTTTGTTCAAGGACAAAATGGTAGCTTTGCCCTTATTCACTTCTTTGATACGTCACCTTTCTATGTCTCTTCTCCATTCCTGCTTGGCCTAGATTTTTATTATTTCTTTCTTTTTTCTTCCTCCTCTTAATCAGTTTATCTTTTTTGTTTTCTACGTAATTTGCCATAAAGTAGTTGACAAACAATCTATTCATCTTCTTCTCAATGGAAATAAATTTCAGAAAATATAAGAGAACTTGCTAATTAATTTATGGCACAATAATGTAGAAACGGTGAAAGGTAAACTGATCAAGTGGATGAAGAAAAAAATATTAACATCTAGCCCAAACAGTAACAAAGACGGAGAGGAGAAAACGGAAAATTAACAAGATGTGTAGAAAAATGAGGTACAGTGATGGTTAAAAGAAGGAAGAAATAATGGCAAAAGAACCTTTTTGCCCTTCAACAAAAAAATCTGTTGAACACCAAGTTTGCCAAGACATCCACTCCTTTTATTTTTGTTACCAGATTATCTATGCAGTGTCACTCATTTCATTTTACATGCCTTTAGTAGCAGCCCACCCATTATAGTGCATAATCAATTTGAATTCAAGAAGAAAGAGTTTGTGGACCATGTATCGTATTGAATAGGTAGCATTGATTTAGGATAACACTTTCTTGGTTTGAGAAACAAATGCAGCTGCATAGAATTTTCATGCAATTAACTGAAAAGTAATCCATTGGTCAATATATACTCCAGGTTAGGGATGAACTCGAGCAATTACTGGATGATGATGATGATATGGCTGACCTTTACTTGTCAAGGAAGTTAGCTGGTGCGTCATCACCTGTTAGTGCCTCTGGTGGAGCCAATTGGTATGCTGCCTCCCCTACGATAGGCTCCAAGATTTCCAGAGCTAGTAGAGCAAGTGTAGCGACAGTTCGTGGAGATGAGAATGATGTTGAGGAGCTTGAAATGTTACTAGAGGTTTAAAGATATACTTATTACATATCTTTCATATTTTATGAAATGTAAAATCTGAAAATATAGTAATCTAATTTGCAGGCTTACTTCATGCAAATTGATGGCACTTTGAACAAATTGACAACGGTAATTTTTTTCCCTTAATCTTCCCTTTTTTTTTGTTTTAGCAAATTCAATAGACATCTATTTGTCAGTATGTGTCACATACAGGATTATGGAGGCATGACTGTGGTTTTATGGGCCTGTTTTAGTGGGTGCTTATATTTGG